AGACCATCCTGGCTAATGCGGTGAAACGCCGTCTCTACAAAAAATACAAAAAACGAGCCGGGCGAGGTGGCGGGCCCCTGTAGTCCGGGCTACTCTGGAGGCTGAGGCAGGAGAATGGGGTAAACCCGGGAAGGGGAGCTTGCAGTGAGCTGAGATCTGGCCACTGCACTCCAGCCTGGGTGACAGAGTGAGACTCTGTCTCAAAAAAAAGAAAAAAGAAAAATGGGTTAGAATTAATAGATAGAATTAATAGAGGTCATAAGAGTACAAGAGATCATCCTATGATAGTCCATAGTCTTAGAAGGAAAAAGGACCAAGGATGGCTCTCTTCCAATAGTTTTTTCTGGAATCATGAAGGAATGGAAAAAGCATATGGCTGTCACTATTTGTACAGAGATTCATGTAAATCCAATTGGGGTTTTTCCTCGATTGAAATTGCACAGTGGCACATATTCTGGTCTTCATGATACATTCAGAGTATAAGGAACTTTCTGAAAAGGAAGTTTCTATGAGCCAATATAATCTATAGTCTCATCGTGAAAGTGCTTTTCAGAATGCTTCCTAGCTGCTCTGTGATTAGGAAGCATCTAGTCTGGTGCTTTGGACTAAATCGAAGGGCCTGGTGCAGTGGCTCATGCCTGTAATCCCAGAACTTTAGGAGGCCAAGACAGGAGGATCACTTGAGCCCAGGAGTTCAAGATCAGCCTGGGCAATATAGTGAGACCCTGTCTCTATGAAAATTTAAAAAATATAAGCCAGATGTAGTGACATGCACCTGTGGTCCCAGCTACTCAGGAGGCTGAGGTGGGAGGATCACTTGAGCTTAAGAGGTCAAGGTTGTAGTGAGCCATGTTTGTGTCGCTACACTCCAGCCCGGGCAACAGAGTGAGACCATGTCTCAAAAAAATATAAACATCTAAAAAATCAAGAAACGATAAGGGGGCAGTTATCAGGAGGACCGTTTGTGATGTGAGAGTCACAGAGCTGAGACAAAATAATAGTCTGAAGAAGGACCGTACCAAGAGATGGCATACACTGCATTGCAGGAAGAGAAGCCCAGAAACCAAGAACCAAGGAAGTCAAATGGATCGGTTGTTAAACCAGCTGGTGGAGCTATGAACCAAATAAATGCAGAAGAGACCTGCTGGGTGGTCAGAAGCAAGCTGAAGCTGAGTTGTAGGATGGTCCAGGGCCGAATTTCACCTATGGGATCTTTTGGCCCATTATGGTATTCCTTATATATGTGGCTCAGCACCTAACAGAGTGTTCTTAGGGAGCCTAGGCGTGCTGGACCAGGAAAGTAGTGTTGGTCCATGGTCCGTGCTTCTGACTTACTCATGGTTTCCTTTTTTGTTTTTCTTTTTTTTGTTTTTTTCTATTTAGGGCTGCAAAGTTGTTGCAGCAGCAGGGTCTGATAAAAAGGTTGCCTACCTTCAAAAGCTTGGATTTGATGTTGTCTTTAACTACAAGACAGTAGAGTCTTTGGAAGAAACCTTGAAGAAAGCCTCTCCTGATGGTTACGATTGTTATTTTGATAATGTAAGTACAAACTGGACTTAATATCTGATTTATTAATGAAGTACTATATAAGGCAGGAGTCTCCTACCCCTGGGCCATGGATGGTTAGTGGTCCATAGCCTATCAGGGACTGGGATGCACAGCAGGAGGTGAGGGGCAGGTGAGCAAGCAAAGCTTCATCTGTATTTACAGCCCCTCCCCCTCACTCCCATTACTGCCTGAGCTCCGCCTCCTGTCAGACCAGCGGCGGCATTAGATTCCCATAAGAGTGTAAACCCCATTGTGAACTACGCATGTGAGGGAACTAGGTTGTGCATTCCTTATGGGGATCGCACCACTTAGGTGCCTGATGATGCCTGATGCCTGATGATCTGTCACTGTCTCCCATCAACCCCAGATGGGACTGTGTAGTTGCAGGAAAACTCACCCACTGATTCTATGTTATGGTGACTTGTATAATTATTTCATTATATATTACATTGTAATAAGAAGAGAAATAAAGTGCACAATAAACACAATGTACTTGAATCATCCCCGAAATCGTCCGCCCAACAGTCGGTGGAAAAATTGTCTTCCAATGAAACTGGTTCCTGGTGCCAAAAAGGTTGAGGACTGCTGATACAAGGAAATATATTCCTAGAGTTTGCATTTGGGATGCATGAACAAAGTATATATGCCTTTTTTAAAAAACAGCTTTATTGAGATATCATTCATCTACCATGTAATTCACTCATTTAACGTGTAGAAGTCAATGATTTTTACTATATTGGCAAAATCGCGCAACCAGTTTAAGAATATTTTCATCACCCCCCAAAAAAAGGCTACTCATTAGCAGTCACTCTCCATTACCCACCCTCCTCCCCACTAAAAGTGATCTCTTACGACTGGCTGCTTTCACATAGCAAAATGTTTTCAAGTTTCATCCATATTGTAGAATTTATCAGTGCTTTATTCCCTTTTTTTGTTTTTTGAGACAGGGTCTCACTCTGTCACCCAGGCTGGAGTGCAGTGGTGTGATCATGGCTCACTACAGCCTCGACCTCCCTGGCTCAAGCAATCCTTCCACCTCAGCCTCCCAAGTAGCTGGGACTATAGGGCTGTGCCACCGCACCCAACTAATTTATATATTTTTAGTAGAGATGGGGTTTTGCCATGTTGCCCAGGCTGGTCTGGAACTCCTGGGCTCAAGGGATCCTCCCACCTCAGCCTCCGAAAGTGCTGGGATTACAGGCGTGAGCCACCACACCCAGCCTGATGGGTATCAGCTTATACTTTCTGGCTAGGATGTATAATGTTACTATGAAAATTCATGCAGAGGTTTTTGTGTGGATGTTTTC